CGACGTTGGCTTTGCACTGACACTGGCCCCCCAGTTTACTGCAGCTGGTATCCAGCGACCCTTGGGGGTTGCACTTACATGCTGCCAAGGAGAAAGAAAATCGAAACGTGTTGTGGTTTAACACCAGCCAGCATCCAAGCATGACACATTCGCTCACTCGCCTCTCACCTTCCCAGTGGGATGGGAAGGAGAATCGGAGGAAAAGACAAGGGAACCCCTGGGTTGACATAAGAACAATTTAATAATTGAAAATAAAATTAAATAAAATATTGATACTAATAATAACAATACCAATAATACTAATAATGCTAATATTGCTACTATTAATATGTAATGAAAGTACTACTACTACTACTATGTAATGAAAATAATGGAAAATAAACCCAATGATACAACCCCTCCACACCCACTGACACCCAGCCAGTCCCCAAGAAGCAAGAGCCAGATCCAGAGTGAGAGAGAGCAACAAAGACCCCTGGCCCACTCCCCCAGCATATATACTGAACATGACATTTGATGGCATGAAATGTCCCTTTCGTCAGTTTGGATCAGCTGTCCTGGCTGTGTCCTCTGTCAGCTTCTTGTAGAGAATAAGCTGGGAGAGCAGGGGCAGTGTCAGAAACTGAAAAAGTCTTTGAGTTGACATAAACATTCCTTAGCAACAACTAAAAAAATCAGTATGCTATCACTGTTCTTCTCAGCACAAATCCAAAACACAGCCTCATACTAGCTACTGTGAGGAAAATTAACTCTGTCCCAACTGAAACCAGCATAACATCTTTGGTTATAGCGGAGTGTAACTACTCTCGTAACCTTGCAGACTTTACACTCAGCAAGGAAAGGGCTTGATTATTGTCATCAGAGGTTCACTAACCACTGATGGCCATGGCTTGGATTATTCGATGCTGTAGCATCGATGGTGATGGTGAATCAGGCACAAGTCTCAGTGTTGGAGCTGCCACATTCCAGGCACTGCCTTCAGCACTTATTTGGGATAGAAGAGGGCGTAGCAAAATGCAAATCCAAAATGGAGATATCCCAAAGTGTGATGCTCAGATGCCAGCACTAGAAATCCAAGGTACCATGTTTCTTTGGGAGAATCCAATCACTATGGGAATTGGGTGAATCAGAAGCCAGGACAGCCCAAACTTACCACAGGGTGGTCTGTGGCTGCATAGCCATGACATCAAACGATGTGTGTGAGGCATTGATCTGTCTAAAAATAGCCTAAAACAAGCAGATGCTATCAGGTCGATTAGAGGCAAGACTCCCTGAAAGGACCTGGCCAGAAAAGCCCCTCCTGTTACTGGAAGTGCAGAGAAGCTCCATTCCTCTGGGCCCAGCATGAGGGAAGTCCCCTGAGCCACTAAGCCCAGCTGCCCTTTCTGCAGTGGGTCCAGGAGACTGCCTGGGGCTTCACACTCCAACTGCCACTGCCCTCTCGCTGCAACACCACAGAAGTTTTCCTGGTGAATCTCTTCCAGCACACCAGCTTGCGTGCCATCATGCCTGAATTCTTACCAGGGCATCCAGGTGGCCTGCAGCATCCAGACAGAGGGCTTGAAAACTCCTCTGCCATTTTACAGCAACCAGAAAAGTGGGAAAGTTATTACTTTGGCCATCTGATAAAGCTGCATCTGATTGAAATGCTCTTCAGAAAACACACACGCACTGCCATGGTCCCTGTCACGCTGCTCCATGAAGCTCATCAGGTGTGATGGACTCTGAGAGCCATGCCACCAAAAGGCGTTTGCAGCGCACTCAGGGTTCAGCGGGATGTATCCTGCACATCCATACCTACCATACGCTGACTGGCTTCACTTACCTATCCCACCATGGCCTGAGAGCTCTTCACTCAACATATCCTACAAACTCAAGGGAAACCCAGAAACTGCCCAAAAGAGCTGCCTGTGTAGGTTGCTCCTTACCGACGGCGCCGTTGTGAATACGGGCTGACATGCTCACTATGAGCCAGGCACACGCTTCGGGCAGGACGTGAGGTCCAACTTCTGAGGCAATTTCAACACAGTGATACTTCTGGTACTCATCTAAATCCTTTTTGCTGCATAAGTTCTCCAAGGAGCCGATTCTGGGAATAAGTCCAAGCTTTGGCATTAAGAGGAGAAAGAAAATATTTTTGCTTAGATATACTGAAAATCAGAATTTCCCACATTCTCTTACTGTGCTCCACATTGCAAGGACAGAGGCCTGGAGCACCACGTTTCCAAATCTGCCTTTGTGCTGCTTGGTCATCTAAATTCACATTTATTCTGGAAGTCTAGACATTCCCTAAGTTCTTCAAATTTAACAGACTGTGTATAAAAAAGTCAGATTATAATAAGACCTCAGATATATGCTCAGAACCGGTTTTGCTTCTAAAAGTTTCTGTGTTGTTAACTCCAAAAGTAGTATCTGGCCAAAATTTTTACTTGTATTATCAAGATAGATAAAAATCAGCTGAAGGTTCTATGTCCAAGTATGGCCAGCCCTTGTCAGGTCCAGGTCTACAGAAGTAATTAGAAGAATGGACTTTCAAATATTTTTCTGACGAGAAGGACCCAAAACTAACACCCAGTTCCTGACTTGGTGGAAACTTGGAAGATGTCTGGATCTGATTCCAGGGAAGTACAGAACTGATTTCACTTTTCCAATGTCAGCTTTAAATATATCCATGATTTTCTAATTAGATTTAGACAAATTACAGAGATTAAAAAAACCCCAAACCCTAAGTGATGAAGAACTTTATGAATTTATATCCCTAACCACAGCATCTTGTCAGCATATGTGGACTGTGCTCATAATAAATGAGCATCACATAGGGGTACATAATCTGACTAACATGTGCAACAAGTACGACTTCATGAGCTATTACGATATTCTTATGATACACTTCTGTCTTTCCATATAAAAGCATGCAAACACAGTGCTAATCAGAAGCACGCTTCCATGAATTTCTATTAAAACACACTACAAATTATTTAAAGATATTTTGAGTAAGTCTGTGTAAAAAAAAAAAAAATCACACTGGTATAAATACAGCCTCAAAGGAATTGTGACAGAGCTACTCACTGAATCAATCAAGATGAAAGATTTCGCCTTTGGGTCAGAGGCAGAGGGCTGAGAAAAATACACATCCACAGAGTACTCTGTTCCCAGCTCCAGGCAGACTGGTGTTTGAAGAAGTGCAATCCTGTTTAGCAGAAATAAAGCAGAGCTCTAGCCAGGAGTGGGGACAAGGTAAATTCCCTGGGTGCTGTGAACGCTTCCTCCCCTCTGTGCCTGCATCCTACTGCCTGCAGCCCTGAGCAAACCTGCCGCTGCAGCGGGGAGCACATCAGCCTGACTGCTTGCAGGTTTTGGGAAAACTTCTGCCTAGACGATTCACCAAGTGCAGTTTAAACCTGCTGAGATTAAACTGAAAATGGCAGGGTTTACTACTGCAAGCAACGGAGTGATCAAGACTTTGGTCATAACCTCTTGGCTCCACTCTATTCTTTGCGTAGGTCCAAGCTGAAAAGCTGGTTTTGAAAATAGGCTAGGACAGAGACTTAAAGTCATTATTTCCTTTCTATACCAAAATATCTGCAGCTGGATCTTGCCCAAAGCAGCTCTCCTGACTTGGGCAAGCCTTTGCCAGGCTGAGGACTGGAGCATCAGACACTTTCCTAGAGCCTATGTGGTATTGCGGTGTGACAGCAACAGGAAAGGCCACACATGTGTTTCTAATATTCCCACTTTCCCACATATTTATCGCTCTGCATTGCTTCAGTAGAAGATTTGTACACAGAAAGTCTACAGGCAAAAGGACAGGAATAGTCAGACCTCTTTGTAGCTGGGAGAGGCAACGCATGTGGCTCCTGTGAAAGGCCCTTGTTTTTGCAGTGTTGACTTGACAAAATCCCAGCGGGCTGGACGGCAACACTTGCTAGCCAGTCTTCCAAGGACTATAAGCAAAGGACAAAAATTACAGTCATTTTTTATATCTGAAAACCCCACTTTCTCTTTGCCAAGGTTAACAAAAGCCATCTGAATGATTTCACGCTGCAGTGACAAAACAGATTTTGTCTTTATGCTTTACAGGGCTAAAAAAATAATTTTATTTGTGAAAAATGCATTGCATTTGCAATGGCTAATTGAAGAACAGAGATGGAGATGGGACCTTAGATGATGCAAATGGAAACAGCTCTTTTAAAGTCACTGGAGTCGTCTCCTTCTTAGCACAGTGTTGTCCCAGAGATATCCTTCATTATCTGCCTCCTCTCACATCTATTAAGGAAGATTGAACATAAAAGACTTTGTAACAGAAGTCTTTAAAATTCAATCAAAATTCTAATCCTTAGAAGGAAAAAGCTACGTCAAAACAGCTCACTGCAAAATTGTTCTCTCTCGTTTTAAGACACCGGGAGTCCTGTTTGCCTCGGAATGACAGAGAACAGAATACAACAGGCAGAATGAGGATCTCAGATGGTGGGATTGTCCCAGGAAGCTGCAAAGCGAAAGAGCAAGGCATGTACAAATACTGGTACCAATAAAACACTGGCCTGTGTTTTTGAAGACATGGGTGTGGACTTGGGTTTAAACAGATTTGGTTTAGCAGATTTGCCTAGACATGCCTTCATCACTGAGAAATTTTGTCCAGGCAAAAAATAAGATTTTTGTTATTTTCCTACAATTTTCACACATTTCAGAGCCCAGTTGGAGCAACTGGGAAGCTGAATGTCTGCAAAAGCCCTGGATAACTATCTACCCAGATCACTCCTGCCTGTGCACATTTTCCTGCCCAGAAAATCCCAGCTAGAAATAGAGGATGGCAATCCAAAAGGAGCTGCATTTTGCATGTGTCTGATTTGTGAACAAAAACCCAGTCCAAGCAATGGCACTGAACGAGGAACTCCAGAAGATGAAAACTTGGCTGATGCTTAGAAAACACCTGTGATGCCAATTTTTCAGATATGACTGGAAGGAGTTAAGGGGATCAGTGGAGAGCATGTTGCTTAATTTTGTAAGGATGAAAAGGCAAAGTATTTTAAATTTAAATGTAACGAGTGGGACAAGTTGCTGTGTCCTATTATTGACAACAAAGACCCTGCATCTATCTCAGCATCACAAGACACACAAGACATCACAAGTACCTCAGGCTCATAACGGATCACGATATCAAAGTCCATAGCAAAGGGAATGTTGTTGATGGCAAATCTCAGCCCAGCTCCACTGGGAATACGGGCGAAGCCAGGTCCCGTCCATGTGACAGACCGGCCGGCGCTGGGCTGCCTGAAAACCACCGACACAGCCGAGTCCTGTCCAAACTGCACTTCACCCTGCAAAGGCATACTGACATTTTCAACAACACACACAGTCGAATTACAAAAAAACCAAACTCAGAAAAGAGAAGTATTTTTTCCACGTTATTTACTTATTTCGGCTATCAGCCAGCCTCATTTTCTGAACAAACTTGTGATCGACAGTCTAAGAACTCTCCCAAATGTAGGACAGTTAGGGTCACATATAGAGAAAAGCTTCCTCCGGTTTTGCAATAACAGCAGCAGGAAGGACTAGAATAATCCATTCAATCCATTCATCTCTCTATATTTGGCTTCTCCAGGTATTCACATTGCAAACCTTAAACACACAAGGCTTGATTTCCTACACGGCTGGATTTTTCATTATAAAATGTATGAATAAATATCAATACTTACAGTGACAAAGCTGACAGCACTTAAATGCAGTGGGTACCATGTTAACATCTAGGTACACTTAAACATTGGAAATGTCTTGCAAGCAAAATCAAAAGAAGGATTTTACTTTTCATGGGGGCTCTTCCCTTCTAATCAATTCATTGAATGTGAGGTTACAATGGCACTGGGCATAGCAGAGCAAACCTGTTGATGTGAATTATAAAATGTCCAGCCCAGCTGCATACCAAAAAGACTTATTCCATCTGTGTTGGGTTTGTAAGACCTAGGACTATGAATCCCACATGCTCAGGCATTTCCTTGCCCTCTGCTGCAAAATAAAATCTTAGTATTTGGTGTAACCTTAAGTAACTATTGAAGTACCAATTTACCTGTTCGAGTCCAGATTTTCTTACACTTCGTTTCTTGCTCCTGTTTAACACAATCTTTCCATTTTCAATCGTGAACTCATAGCCTTGCTTCTGGAAGTAGATGTCACTCCTTTGAAGAGCGTTTGGTTTAACCTGTGACGTAAAAATAATGAGAGAGGGCATAGCATTGTCTCAACAATGTTGAAGGGTAGGTAAGCAGCTAAATGAAAATCCACATTCTTAAAACAAGCACTATTCCCTGCTGGGTGAAACTCTAAACCATGGCCCAACAGCTGCTGGAAACCCTTTTCGCTCACTCTCTCCCAATTAACTTGCACTTCCTCTTAAGCTATGTCCCAGACATCTGTTTTTCATTTAATTATTGGACTGCAGGATGATTACTGGTTGTGATTATAGCTAAATATTTATGGATGTGATCTGCAAATAAACATTCTTTATTATGCCTTCTCTATAGCTTCTGGACAATACATTGGAGAAGAAACTTTAGTAAAAACGTAGGCAGTGGAAGGAATGTATTCCAGACTTGTACTCTGCATGGGGAACAAGTACCTCCATTTTGAGGGAAAAAACACACGAAACCTTTTTTCTAAACACATTATGGATAGATGCCAAATTCTTGAGGAAATTGGGCTGCTGCAATCAGTGTCATTATATAAGGCAGCAG